TTTGAGAGTGACATTCATAGACTCAGATATGACCAGACAGCTTTAAGGAACTAAGTTTGGCTTTGTAAAATATGGAGCCATAAAGCCCCTTGGAAATGTTGGCCTGATACCTTGCTTACAGAGTTCCCAGAAGCCTTACCAGGTGAGTGAAGAAGGTCACTTCCTGGCAGGTGCAGGAACCTCAGGATATCTTGGGGACCTCATGAAGAGGAATTTGCCCAATTCTGCAGGTATGCAGGCCTGTCTGATGGCAAGTATTTAGCTTGGCTTCTGGCCTGGAGAGGCTACTAAAAGTTCAACCCAGAGATTCCTTATAAAAGGTTCCAGCAAAGCAAACTTTAAAAGATCCTCATGATTAATCGCTATTCTTGCTGAGCTTATGTAAATAATTAGGCCAGATTTGTTAAGACTGGATTTGTTCTACAAATGCATTGGTCTCAATGTGGCTATCTCTGGAAAGGGGGGTTTTAGAGAGAAAAACTATATTTCAACAGTGCACCGTTATGGATGTTAAATTCTATTCTGATTGTCTTTAAATGTTTGTTGTTTGCCTAAACTAGATAACTTGAGGTAAACTCCAGAAAAATTGTCACAGTATTTCATGTATAGACAATCTTTGTGCTTGTTATTCTATGGGGATAATAATAAGACTCCATGGGGCGCCTGGGTGGCGCAGTCGGTTAAGCGTCCGACTTCAGCCAGGTCACGATCTCGCGGTCCGTGGGTTCGAGCCCCGCGTCGGGCTCTGGGCTGATGGCTCAGAGCCTGGAGCCTGCTTCCGATTCTGTGTCTCCCTCTCTCTCTGCCCCTCCCCCGTTCATGCTGTGTCTCTCTCTGTCCCAAAAATAAATAAATGTTGAAAAAAAAAATTTAAAAAAAAAAAAAATAATAATAATAAGACTCCATGGGCATAAGATTATTTAAACAACTGGAAAACAGGATGGATCTCTAAATATGCAAACCATATCTTCCCTAAATCTGATCTGACAGTTACCAGAAACCCGCCCCTTTTGAAGACTTGGAGGTAGACTTTACAGATATACAACCAAATAGAGGATTTAGTTTCAGGTATCACCCCATGGGTCCATCGCTCCAGAGCTGAGAAGGCCAACTCAGATGAACCCTCAACCTGGTGAAGTGATCCAGATCCAGTCAACCCGCTTAAACTGACCCTCAAAAAGACACTGCCCCTGAGATCTCCAGCCCTGCTCCAGCCACACCCTGGAAGCTGGCTGGCCTGCTCACGGCAGAAGCTTGAGGAATCAACGTGTGGACCAAGCCCAGGGGTTCAGATGCAACTCTGCCAGCCCTTGCCCCTTACTGGTGTCATCACCCTGATCTTGCTTATTGCTGTCAGGCTAATAGAGACTGACATGCCTTCATGTTGACTGCCATCAACAAACTGGACATGGACTGGATGGCAGACTCCCTGGGAACCTGACAAAGCCAAATAAACTCCCTGGCAGCAGTGTCCCTCCAAAATAGGCCAGCTCTCTACCTCCTCACTTCAGAAAAAGGAGGGACTTGTATCTTTCTGGGGGAGGAATGTTGCTATTTTGTAAAACAATCAGGAATAGTCAGGACTAAGTTTAAGGACCTCAAGGAAAGAATTCAACGTAGACAATGGGAAAGTATCGGTCAATGGAGAGGATGGGATCTCACACACTGGGCATCCTGGCTCCCTGCCCTGGCAGGGCCCCTGCTTTCCATAATTTTACTTGTGACCATCGGTCCCTCTATACTAACTACCCTGGTACGTTTTATTGAAAACACTGTTGTTTGTCAAACTGCAGCATGTATCTTAGCCCTCTGAGGGTACCAACTCCTAGAGCTAAAAAGTGATGTCTAATAAAGATTTTAAAAAAGGCATCAAAGGGGGGAATGTTGGGGAAAATGAATAAAGTTTTACACCATAAGATGGCCAATGGGACTAAAACAAGCTCTGGTCTCTAGCTTAGAGACTCCTCTTCTGGGTTCTTCTTGCCCTGTTTGCCACGCGGGTGAAAACCTGACACAGATATGGAAGTTGACAAATATAAATTACCCTTCCCCCCTTCATTCGGAGCTCAGATCTTTGGAGAAACGGTCTCCTCCGAGCCTGCCGGTGTTAAATAAATCTCCGATCCAAGATTTCCGAGTGTTGCTTGGTTTTTCTGCCAGCGTTCCAGTCTGGTTCCGTAACACAACCAATTACATTATAAAGTTAAAATATCCAAACCCAATGGGGAAGGGGACAGTGTGGGTCTCTTCTGTAGTCACATTCAGATTAGATTTATTATAGAAGCAAAAACCACAACAAGCCCATCATTACCAACTGCCTTTGTGGTGAGGGGATCTTCCCACCAGAGTTGAAAATGAGGCCAGGACAGTGGGCATCACAGCCCAAGGAGGGGATTAGGGAACCAGAAGTCTCCCCAGCATGGGAGAGGCCTGGACAAGCAGGCATAGGACCTGGCCACAGGATAGCCTCCTCACCTTTGCTGGGCTCCTTCCTATCTGCTCCCCTGGGTGAGGTGTCCCCTGCCTGTCCCCCACATACCTGGCCCTAGCCCAAAACCAGGTTTAGGGGTCATCGCTTGCTCTCCTTCCTGAACCCCTGAGGCTACTGCTGGGCCACATTCATATGGCCAGCGTTACACCTCAATCCACAGATACCTCTACGCCAGCTGCTCACCCGGGAAGGGAAATCACACAAACATGGCAGGGGAGGGCTGTGGAGGGCCCTGCCACACATCCCTGGCTGGAGCACATCTATCTGGGGGTGATTGAAGCTGGAGTCTCAGCTCAGACCTTCCTGATCTCGGAGTCCAGATACACACTTACACCAGGGAGGTGACCTAAGTGTGCACTGCACCCCTCTGGGCCTGCCCCACTGTGTGTGATGGGGGTGGTCAAAGGCACCTGCTAGGCCCAGTGAAACTAGGGGACTTGTGGCAGCCTGGGTCGTCCTGAAGCAGCGTTTGGCCGTAGTAGTCGGGGACAGAGAGTTGTGTCACTTTACCCATAAAGCAGATATTACCACGTGTTTATAGGACGCCAGGCTGGGTGCTTCCTGGATTGGGGAGAGCAGCCAGGCTTCCTGGTGGTTCCCAAGCGCCCTCTGCTGGTGGCTTTGGGGAACTGCACAGCTGGGGAGGGGACGGGGCACAGCTGTCTCTGGTGCCTGTTCCTCTGGGTAGCCTGTCCTGTGGTCTCATGGGGCTGACTCCATGAGAAGAAGGCTGGAGTCACATCTTCATAGACAGCTGGGACTTAGCTGAGAACCAATTCATTGTAACTCAAAGACTGGCATCAAATTTATTATTATCTTTTGTTAAATACTTTAGATCTTTTCAGGACACATGGTCTATAAGGGCATGGTAGGTTGTCTTCCCAGTTTTGCTTGTACAGTTATGTGACAGGAGGAGAGGTGACATAATCAGGTGATATGCACGTAGGGAGGGTACTGGGGGGCTGCCCCTGCACCTGCATCGTGCGCCTTGCCCCTCTGAGAATGGCCTCTGGACTTCCACCAGGTAAACCTGGGACTTACATCTCCCAGTCAGGTGACAGCTTAGGAGGAGGGCCGTTGGGGACAGTGAGGATTACAGTCATACGTGCATTCGATATATTTTAAAAGAACAATACACAATGGGCAGTGGGGGAGGTGTTCTGCCGGGCAAGCCCCTGCTCGCTGCACGGCCGCCTGTCCTGCAAGCGTCTCGTGGGGTGGGGTGGGATGTCAATCTCCATGGTGCTAATTGGAGAAGGGTCTCTCTCCTGCCGGAGGTAGGGGTGACTGGGCAGTGGGTGCTGGAATGGGGAGCGGGGGCCCGGGCAGAGCAGCTCCAGCCTCCAGAGGGTCCTGGTCACTTCCCTGTGAAGGCTTGACCTGCCTGAGCACCGACATCGGGCACACACCAGGGGAAGAACACAGGATTGTCCCCGGGGCCACAAGAAAGTCTGTTGATAGCCTCCCGGCATAGCACAATGCTGCTGGGTCCTCTGGGCCAGCACCAAAGACCTTCCTCAGTGGGTCCCACGGTGTTGGCTTCTCATAAGGCCGTTCACAGCTTGGAAGGTGCCTTGGGTGGCAGATGGAGGATCCAGAGGGAAGAACCAGGCATTTCTCAAGCTGGACAGCTCTGGACTATCACCTGGTTCTTCCACTTTTGGGCCAGGCAGGTGGGGCTGGAGCCCTCCTCCAGCAAAAGGTGGCCATGGTGGCCTGTGCTATGTTGGTGTGGCACCTGACTAGGGGTCAGAGACAAGAGTCGTCTAGATTCAGAAAGACCTTCCCTGGGCTCCCCTGGGACTAAAGATTTGAAAAGTAAATTCTTCACAGCAGCGCAAATAGTCTGAAGTTCTAACAAAAAAGTTCTGTTGGGTAGTTCTCAACACCCAGGGGAAGGTACCCTGTGACCCTGACACTTGGTGCTGCAGAGACCCCTGTCCCTGGAAGGGCGAGCTGTTCAGCCAGCTCAGGAGAGGACACCCCACCCCCCAATTCCTCATTTGTTGTTTGAGATGGAAGTACAAAGCTCTGTCTTCAGCCTTGGAGAGGCAAGAAAGCCATTCTCATGGGACTAGGTGCAGGGGACGGTGGGGCGGGACCTGGGAGACCACAGTACAAGTCTGGCTCCACCTCTGTCCCTGTGACTCTCAGACCTACGGAGTCCTTGTCAGAAATTGGGGACCATGCCACCACCCAGCATGGTGGGCAGGGCAATCAGGGCTGGCCCCATGGGTGTTGGGCTACATGGAATCTGAGTCTGAAGGGAAGAAGGCCCCGGGAGATCCAAAGGGTGGCCTAGGGCAGGTGTGGTGATGGAGTTTGGGGAGCCTTGGAGCCTGGGTTTTATTCTTCCTAACCAGGGAGGAGGAAATGCCTCCTGGCCCAAGCTGAAGGAGAGGAGTTCCCAGCCTGGGCCCCCGACCCTTTGCTCGCCATCCAGACATGTCCCTCCACCTGTGCCAAGGGTCAGAGCCCAGGGTCTTGGGGCCTTGCCTGGGGGCCGCCCTCAGTAACAGTCGTCTGCAAAGAAGCGTGCACGGGCAGACGGTGGGCAGTCCCCCACATCGTGTGGACCCACCAGCTCCCCATACTCGCTGTTGTAGAACACCTGGCCTCCCCGCGCCCCGCGGTCCGGCCTCCGCCGCCGCCCTTGGGTGTCAGGGTGCGCCCTGGTCGCGTCCACATTCCGGCCAGGTCCTTTACAGCTGCTGAGACAGGGAAGGTGATGGTCAGTAAGACAAGAAGACAAGAGGGACAGGACCCTAGTAGGGGGTCTGGTTGGAATCACCAGAGACATGACCAGAGCATCAAGCAAGTCCAGAGCCATCAGGAACACAGGCTTGACGCACACAGCAAAGCAGGCTGATGTGAGTGTTGGCAAACACTGGAGCTTTCTCTGTCCCAAGCCTGGGTGTGGGATGATGGAGAATGCCTGCTCCATGCCTCCAGACCTATTTCTCTCCCAGACCTGCCCATCTCTGTGAACGCACCAATGCTGACTCAGTGGTTCAAGCCCCTGGGTGACATCCTTTCCTGAGCCCCTCACATCCAATCCACCCAGACGCCTGTACGTTTTAACTGCAGAATACATCCATGCCCCTCTCTGCATGCCCTGTCCTGCTCCAGAGTCAGTGGCCACCTCAGATGCTCTACACTAACCTGGCACACCTCTCCTCTCCCAACCCTGCCTCCCTAGGGCCTTGTCTTCAGGGATCCTTCCAGCTGGAGAATGTCCTTCTCCTGACAGACCCTCCAATGGCGTTTTGTCACTCTCGGGATGAACACCAAGCTCCTCTCTCCCTGGCCTGGGAGGCCTTGAAGGTGCCAGCCCCAACCCCTGCGTCCTCACTGATGGTCAGATGACACTCCCCACTAAGCTCTCACTTTCTTTGAGAGTTTGCAAATGTTGCTTCATTGCTTCTGATTTTAATTTTGCTTTGCATGGTGCTAAGCCTGATGCCAGCCTGACTTTTTTTTCCTTCATAAATGACTCTGCCTGGGGCACCTGGGTGGCTCAGTCAGTTGAGTGGCTGACTTCATGATCTCAAGGTTCATGAGTTTGAGCCCCACATCGGGCTCGCTGCTGTCAGCACAGATCCTCTGTCCTCCTCTCTCTGCCCCTCCCGGCTTGCATTCTCCGAAAAATAAATAAATATTAAAAATAAATAAATAAATGACTCAGCCTTTTTGCCTGAATTTCCAGAATGTTTACCTTGAAAGTCTAACAGTTCAACTAAGCTTTGCGTCCAAGCCTACTGTTCTGGGTCAGTTTTCCTAGTCCATCTTTGGAGATGTAGATTTAGTTATTCTTTTCTAAGAGGGTTATCTTGAATTCTAAGTTTATTTTGTTAAATTTTTTTTAACGTTTATTTATTTTTGAGACAGAGAGACACAGAGCATGAACGGGGGAGGGTCAGAGAGAGAGGGAGACACAGAATCTGAAACAGGTTCCAGGCTCTGAGCTGTCAGCACAAAGCCCGACGCGGGGCTCGAACTCACGGACCGCGAGATCATGACCTGAGCCGAAGTTGGACGCTTAACCGACTGAGCCATGCAGGCGCCCCTTGAATTCCAAGTTTAAAATACTAGGTCTGTTTTACTGTCAGCATAGGCTTCTTCGGAGACTCCAATTTTACATAGATTGGATCTTTTCTACTCAACTACTACACCACCAACTTTCTTTCTCATCTTTTTTACCTCTTTGTTTTGGTTTTATTTTCTTTTGTCTTTTCATGTCCATCTTCGGCGTCTTTCTCTGCAAGGAAGAATTGATCATATCTACTGATCCTTGGGCACCCCCTCTCCAGTCTTCATTTTTGAGGGGATTTCTCTTTTATTTCAATTTCTTTCCTGAAATGTAGTCAACCACCATTTAATACTGTCACACTACCCATTTCCATCTGAGTGAGTTTCTGATTCCTGGTGTGGCTCCTTTGTTTAATTATGTATTGAATACACTGGAGTATGTATCAGCTTTTCCTTGCTTCTTTTTTTTTCTTTTTTTTTTTTTTTTTTTTTTTTTTTTGAGTATTTACATCTACATTCTAATTGTTTTATTCTTGTAATAATTTTGTATGGATAGTGATTATTTTTTTCTGTTCATGATTATTCATGCTGGGATTTCCTCAGCTAGAAGTATCTGGTTATCCTATGGAAGGGGCTTGGGATATGGGTGGCTTCTGATGTTGCTTAATTTAAGAGTGCTGCACTAGACCTGTGTCTGTGGTGTCACATTGAATTCCTTCAACTGCATCCTCTGCAAAGGCTCCATTCTTGTCCTGCATTGTATTGTCACCTGGAACCAACCAGTCACTTTGCTGGGAGTCCTGGGCCCCCTTGTGGTTGCTGCCACACAGCCATGCTGACCTACCACAAGCCCAGGGCTTCCATATCTTCCTCTTGCCTACACACTTGGATGAAATGCCACACTTCAGGGGGTGGATCTGTCATCCTAAGTGGCCCCTCTAAGGGCCGGGTGAGTGACCTGGAAGTGAGGACCCTATGTGGTGTGATTGGTGGTTCACAGGAGACAGGAAAGGACCGGACAGATAAGCTCCCTCCTTCTCCCTGCACAGAGCCCTTCAAGGTGCATTCTATCTTTGCACCTGTTTGGAGAATGTTCCATATACCAAGTGAATGCACCCACCAGGTGACCTGCTGTACCTCTCGGTGGCTGGTCATGCTGTGCTTCCCAGGGAACCCCGTGAGAAGAATAGTGCTGTCACTTCTATTGTGAGGTGCAGTTCTGTAATAAATGGTTTCCTTGGGTGTGTATCTGTCTTCTGGATTCTTGCTTCTGGAGGACTCTTATCTTCTGCAACTTTCTTCCTCCTTCACTACGAAACACTCCCTTTCACAAGAAGCTCCTTCCCAAGACGGCTGCTCCTGGTGCTTCAGACTTGCCCTGGAGCCCTGCTCTCCTCCACCAGACCTCTGGCTCCTCCATTATCTCCCCAGTTTGTTTGTCTGGAGGACCTTATCACACTCCTCTCTCATGGGACAGTCCCTATTTACTCTCCCTCCACCAAGACTCAGGTTTGGCTCTGCTGGCCCTAGTGCTGAGTTCCCTACTCACAGGTAAACTTGAGTCTGTTTCTCTTGGTTACATCACAGGTATGGGCTCTGAGTGGCCTTATTTTGGGTGTTGTTTTTACGAAGATATGTGGAGATTAGAATTTAACAATCACCCTATGACTCACCCTCTTACTGAATTATCTTTTTTTGAGATAGAAAATACTGTTTGGTAAAGGGACATTAGCCAAAAACTATTTACAACAATGCAATTAGCATTAATTTTCCGAAACTAGGTTACCAATAGATATCACCTGATGGAATCAAGAAAAACAAAAAAAGAGGCCAAGATGCATGGTATAGATGCAAGTAGTCATGGCTGGGTGTGTGATCCCACAACCACCAGCATTCAGAGTGCTGCAAACACACCCTTTGCAGGCTGCTGGGAAAATATCTAATAGTTGGTTGAGTTGTAGATGTCATAAATACACCTACCAGAAAGGTGAACAATAGCATCAACTACCCTAACGTGATACAAATAAATACTTGTGGTTTAGTGTAAAATATTCAGTGACAACCTCATTTAGTGATTAAAAAACAGCAGAGACAGAAGCCATGGTTTGTTCTGGAAAATTGTGTCAGATGACCTAAAAAGGGACTCCTGAGACAGACACAGACATCAAAGGTAGAAGTGAGTGGTCTGAAGAAAGTGGAAAAGGGCAATGTCTTACAGTATTGTAGTTCCTGTCATCTATTCATCCATTCATTCATTTGTTCATTCGTTCATTTCAATGTGGGGTTTGAACTTGCGACCCCAAGATCAAGAGTTGCACGCTCCAAAAAATGAACTATTGGGACCTCATTAAAATAAAAAGCTTTTGCACAGCGAAGGAAACAATCAGCAAAATGAAAAGGCAACCAACGGAATGGGAGAAGATATTTGCAACGACATATCAGATAAAGGGTTAGTATCCAAAATCTATAAAGAACTTATCAAACTCAACACCCAAAAAACAAATAATCCAGTGAAGAGATGGGCAAAAGACATGAACAGACACTTCTCCAAAGAAGACACATGAAAAAAGGCTCCACATCACTCATCATCAGGGAAATACAAATCAAAACCACAATGAGATACCACCTTACACTTGTCAGAATGGTTAACATTAACAACTTAGGCAACAACAGATGTTGACGAGGATGTGGAGAGACAGGATCTCTTTTGCACTGCTGGTAGGAATGCAAACTGGTGCAGCCACTATGGAAAACAGTATGGAGGTTCCTCAAAAAACTAAAAATAGAACTACCCTACGACCCAGCAATAGCACTACTAGGTATTTATCCAAAGGGTATGCTGTTTCGAAGGGGCACATGCACCCCAATGTTTCTAGCAGCACTATCAACAATAGCCGAAGTATGGAAAGAGCCCAAATGTTCATCGATGGATGAATGGATAAAGAAGATGTGGTATACATATACAATGGAATATTAGTTGGCAATCAAAAAGAATGAAATCTTGCCATTTGCAACTACATGGATGGAACTGGAGGGTATTATGCTAAGTGAAATTAGTCAGAGAAAGACAAATATCATATGACCTCACTCATATGAGGACTTTAAGATACGAAACTGATGAACACAGGGGAAGGGAAGCAAAAATAATATAAAAACAAGGAGGGGGACAAAACATAAGAGACTTATAAATATGGAGAACAACCAGAGGGTTACTGGAAGGGTTGTGGGAGGGGGAATGGGCTGAATGAGTAAGGGGCATTAAGGAATCTACTCCTGAAATCACTGTTGCACTGTATGCTCACTAACTTGGATGCAAATTAAAAAAAAAAAAAGAGTTGCACGCTCCACCAACTGAGCCAGGTAGGCACCCCCAAGTCCTGTCATTTAAACAGCTATGTACAGGGCACCTGGGTGGCTCAGTTGGTTAAGCATCTGACTCTTGGTTTCAGTTCAGGTCATAATCTCTCGATTTCATGAATTGGATCCCTGAGTCAGGCTCTGGGCTGGCATCGTGGAGCCTGCTTGGGATTCTCTCTCTCTCCCCCCTCTCTCTGTCCCTCCCCTAGTTGCGCTGCCTCTGTCTCTCTCAAAATAAATAAATGAACTTAAATAAACCCAGTTATGTACAAGTCAACTAGGAGAATGAATAGGTAGACATGTAACTATTTCATCTATACTCTTAAAAGATTAAACATTCAAGTTTTTTGAGGGGGGGTGGGTAGGGTGCTATCACCTTGGACAAAGAGAGGTCATCTATCTGGGTCACTTTCTGTGCAGGCACACAAGGATTTCTCTGTAAAGGTATTCTTATCAAACTAGGACAGCAGCCAGCTCCAAGTCACATGATCTGTCTGTCTCCTGCTGCCACTGAGCTTAAATACTGGGGTCCTGGGATGGTGGTGGAGTCCCCTGGCTACGGGTGCGTATGTACAGTGGGCATGGTGGCTCATACTCGATTCAGCAAGAGCATCCGTCATATGGAAGGAAGGTGTAGGGGACCAGCACCAGGTATGCTGAGCCAGGATGGTGATGGGGGTGGGGGCTATTTTGGGAGGACTGGTGGCCAAAGGCCTTGAGTTCCAGAGTAGTTTGCTTTGAACACACAAAAAGGCAATAGGCAACCATGAAAGGTTTCAGGTAAGACAGTGATGGGCATACCCAGGCCCAGCTTCCCTTCCTGGCCCTTTGCAGGGAAAGAGGTTCCAGAAGCCCTACCTGAGCCCGCTTTCTTGTCTGTACCTGCTCTCCAGCTGCTCAAACTCCTCGGAGGCTAGCACCATCCCACTGTCCGTTTGGTTATCCTGTGTGCAGAGAACAAGCCGAGGCTGTAGGCCCCCCTGAAGCCCATCTGCAGGCAGCTGCCCCCCGGCCAGAACAGCGTGGCACAGACCTGCACTGCTGCAGACCTAACACCTGTCCTGTGACAAGTGAGCAGAAAACAGGTGTCCGCCCCTCACTGGAGCATGCGGGGGAGGGTCACATGTCCCTGCCATGGAGGGAGAAACTGAGGCCCAGAGGGGCTGTGCTTGGCCGGCACTCGGGAGTTGGCAAAGCCGGGATACTGCATGCTGGGGGCTCCTACAGAGTGGCCATGCAAGCGCTCAGGGTGCAGGGAGAGCAGGAACACAAGAAGAAACCGGGAGAACATTGAAAGAATCTGGCAGCTCGTAGTGGATAAAAATGGTCTTCACGGAGACACATCCCAGATTTGGCGGGGTTCTGTCACCCTTAGATGGGGCGTGACTTTCGTTTTGAATTGCATGGAGGGGAATAGCACTCTCGTCAGAGCTGGGGCCCCTCCAACATCTTCACCTGGCCCCAGGCGACATGAGCACTCACTGACCAGGCCCATCCGGAGCGAGGCTGGAATGGGAAGGTTCCTGGCTATGTGTCTTGGAAATAGGCTAAGAGGGTGAGTTTGTGCTTTTACAAAGTGGACACGCGGGCTCCGGCTTAGTGGCATGGTGGGTCCACTCTGCTTGACTGAATCCGAGGACACAGCTATGTCCTGTGCCCTGTTCCCAGGCCTCCTTCTCTGGGGACACCATCCCCTTCTCTCTGGCCACATGGCTGGGGGGCCACCAAAGGGAAGCCCTGACTCAGGCTAATCCAATAATAACCATCTGGGAGGAGAAGCTGTCTTTCCACTGGGTTTCTATGCTGTGCGGAAGGAGACCCTGTGTGAGTGATGAGGGCACAGTGGGTAGCGGCTGAGGGATGGTGGCATCGCAGAGGCACACAGACCCCAACATGCCTGAGGTGCAATAGAGGACTTGACATTTCAAGGGACAGTCGGCACCCTTTCCTCAGCGACTTTCCCCTGCCAGCCTCAGGAGTTCCCGGCACCTTCTCCCAGCAGAGACCAGCCACCCTGATCTGGGGTGCCCGGGCCCACTGGCCCCACTTACCACGGAGGCCTTGTAGGTTGTTGGGGTCATGGGAAATTCTTCGAATGTTTTCATCCTGGAGGAGCCCTGGGTCTGAGTCCCTCTGGCTAGGCACCCAGGAAAGGACACACAGTTGTAGTATCTGTGGGGAGAAAGCAGGGAGTGCTGAAGAAATGTGCCCCAGAAAGCTCTCTCCACCTCTCCATCTGCCCCATGTCTCCCCAGGAGGACCCAGTTCTGGGATGAGAGTATGGGCCCTGGGTGCGGTGCTGGGCTGGGTCTCCCTCGGGTGCCCCCTGCAGCCATCTGCCACGCGGCCCCTCTCCCCATGCTGAGCGGTGTCTCCTCTCCTGTGTGTGCAGGAGGAGAGAACCTCCTGAGGCCACTGCTGGGAAGGGCATAGGATGTGAGTGCAGAGCGCCCAGCCCCGGGGGGCAGAGGCGGGTGGTTGGCATGGAGCTGGCGAGAGATGTAGAGAGGCCTTCACCCCAGAACGGGCCTCTCTGTGCAAGGCAAGCAGTCTGGTGCAGCAAGCTGCCACCTGGCCTGTGTGTGTGGGTGTGTGTACACATGTGTGCCCATGTGCATGTCCGTGTGTGCGTGGGGATGACTGGTGGAAGGAGCCTCGTGGGCACCAGCTGGCTGTTCCTGTCTCCCAGGCCTGACCCTGCTCTATGCTGGGGCGCAGGGGGTGGTGGGTTTCAGAGAAACATAAAAAGCCTTCCTGGAGTATAAACAGCCATTGGCAAGAGACATCTGATGCAGAACTCTGGGAACTTAGGCTACCGTCTGAATCCTGAATACAGATTAGTGACAGGCCTACTCTGCTCCCAGGACCCCAAATTTCAGACTAAGGGGAAGTGCCTTTAGGGGCTATGAATGCCAGAAGCAGAGGAGGCTGGAGGGTAGAGAGAAGGACTGAAGGGGTGCAGAGAAAAGCAAAGTGGCAGTCTATATGCCCTTGGAGGGGCCCCAAAGCTAACCAGGCCCTCCAGGGAGCCACAGCCCCCAGTACTGTCTTTTAAAATCACTGTGCTCTTGGGGCGCCTGGGTGGCTCAGTTGGTTAAGCATCCAGCTCTTGATTTTGGCTCAGGTCATGATCTCACAGGTCGTGGGATCAAGCCCCGCATTGGGTTCCAGGCTGACGGTGCAGAGCCTGCTTGGGATTCTGTCTCCCTCTCTCCTCTGCCCCTCCTCTTTTCGCTCTTTCTCTCTCAAAATAAACAAGCAAACATTAAAAAAAATTATAAAAATAAAATCACTGTGCTCTCTGAGTTGGTCTCTCAAGTCCTTGTAGTTTGCTTTTTCTTGATGACTAATGAGAATAAAATATACCATGTCGGAACTGCTTTCTCCCTGCCCAGGGGATCCCTGGACCTGAGGCAGTGTGGCTGACCTGGCTGCCAGGCTGTGCCGGTGCAGGCTTGGCGGGCTGTCCTCGGTGTCGGCCTCGGCGATGTGCAGGGCTGTGGTGGACGCCTGCAAGAAACTGCCTTCCTCCAAGCTCTGAGAGCTGCAGGGAGCCATGCAGTCCTCCTCCTCCTGGTGGGAATGGCAGAGCCCACCAGGGTCAGACATCACTGTGTCCCCTCAGCCCCCACCCTTGCGCTCAGGACTGCTGGGGCTCCTGACCGGTGAAGTTCTGTGCAGCAAGGTGCTCTGAGGTTTAAGTGAGCCTGCCTAGCGAATTCTCCCAACAGCCTTCCCAGGTGCCCCACTTATAAGGAGGAAGACACAGCACGGGCAATCTCAACCCAGGGTCCCCTCCTTTGGGGCACAGTTGGTACTGTGGGCACAGCCCTTTCTCACGCCTCTGGACCCCAGAGCACTAGGGTGGGCTTGAGCTGGCTTTGCTCTCTGCACCCCCAGGCACATTATGGGAGGGAGACAGAAGTGAAATGTGGGTGCAGGGGGCAGGGCTTGCATACCCCCTGAAGGCCAGTCGAGGGCTCCGCATGGCCAAAGACGGGCTCTGACCATCTGCCCGATGGTCCTGGGGTTGGGGGTCAGAGGTTGCTACAGCAGGACAGGGTGGACAGAGAAGACTTACCTGTTGGCCCCTGCCCTGGAGCAGGTCCCCCAGGATCTCCACCAGCTCCGAGAACGCAGGCCTCTCTTTGGGGTCTCCTGACCAGCAGCTCAGCATGACGCCACGTCTGTGGGTAAAGCTGGCTGCTGGCCTATGGTCTGAGTGCACCCACACCATCCACCAGCAGACTGCCCAGCTCCCCTAACCTTGGCCCCTCACACCCTCACTGCCTACCCTGTCTTTTCTGCCTGGGGCGGGTGGGGGAGAGCTGTCCAGGGGCCAGTGGATGGATCAGGAGTAGAGCAATGAACTCCATCTGCAGGCCTCTACCCCAGCCTCAGGCCTGCGCCACCTCCCCAGTTCTGCTCCTTTTGCATGCAACACCCCCAACCCCACCAACCCCCCAACACCTGCAGAGTCAGTGGGGAAACTCACATGGCGGGAGTGGCCAGCTCTGGGGCTCTCATCCGTGTGCCCTCTTTTAGCCGCTGACAGAACTCCTCATTGATCTGCACCCCAGGGTAGGGGGAGGCCCCTGATGGCAGGAACAGGGTGAGGCAGGGGGTGGGTGGGGAGCAGGCAGCCGGTGCTCAGTCCAGCCCCCTCAGATTGGCTTTGTCCTGGCCCTTTATGGCAGAGGGCTCATCCTGCTGCTTCCAGGCCTGGGGTGGGGGTGGGGGCTGGCCAGCACTCCTGTCCTCCTATTATAGTTCTTCATTAGGTTAAAAAAGAATGATGGATGAAAACACGGTTGCGGGGATCCCCAGGGTCAGGAAGCCACACTGAGCCAATTAAGCCAGGTTTGACACAGTGACCCCTCTTCAGAGACACCCTCCCCAGGCATCCAATGCAATCCCTTCCTAAATCCTGTGGCTTTGCCTGCATGCAGTACCTCGCCTCTCCTGACCACAGAAAAGATGGCCCTAAAGAGCCTCTTGGCCTCCCTCTGCCCCTGAGGGCAAGCCACACAACAGCAGGGCGATCCTTTTTATTTTTTTATTTTTTTAATGTTTATTTATTTTTGAGAGAGAGAGAGAGAGAGCGAGAGACCGAGTGCAAGTGGGGGAGGGGCAAAGGAGAGGGAGACACAGAATCCAAAGCAGGCTCCAGGCTCCAAGTTGTCAACACAGAGCCCTACACGGGGCTTGAACTCACGAACTGTGAGATCATGACCTTAGCTGAAGTTGGACGCTCAACCCACTGAGCCACCCAGGAGCCCCAGTAGGGCAATCCTTTAAACTTTTTTTTTCATTTATATTTGAGGGAGAGAGAGAGAGAGAGAGCATGCACGCGCATGTGTGCCTGCATGCGAGCGGGGGAAGGGCAGAGAGAGGACAACAGAAGATCCGAAGCAGGCTCTGAGCTGGTAGCAGAGGCTCGAACTCAAGGATCGTGAGATCATGATCTGAGCCAAAGTCAGATGCTTTACTGACTGAGACATGCAGGTGCCCCAGGAGTGATTCTTTTAAGACAAAACCCAGACTGCTCTCTCCCTTGCTCAAAGCTCTGAATGGCTTCCATGAGACTTAAATTCCAGGTCCTCACCCTGGTCAGCTCGTGCAGGGCATGGACCACCTCTCCTACCTCTTGCTGCATTTCCTGACGCCCCTTCCTCATCCCCTGCCATCATCCGACACTCCGGGATGATGGGCCTGGTTGTCCCCTAGTCCTGGACTGCTGTTTCCCAGGCCTGCCTGCCCTCCCCCAGCCCCTTCATCAGCCAGGCCCTCCTCTCCAGCTCACACACAGCCCCTGTCTGTCCTCCTGTGCTCTCCAGGCCGTTGGATTTTTAGTAATAGTATTCATGGTAGTTGCTCTTTAGTTCTTTTACTTCTCTATTTGTTCACTGCCTAGCTCCACCCTAGTGTGTGTGGGGGGGGGGGTTCATCTTGGTCCCAGGGTGCCCACCCAGGGACCCACGTGGAACTCTCCTAAGTAGGTACAATCCTTGAGTCAGCACCCAGTCTCCTCCAGGACACACCCCGGCCCTTGAAGGCAGGAGCGGCATCCCCAGTGACAGGTGGGGAAGGGGCTCATCCAGGGAGGGGACGATCTGGGGGGACCTGTGAGGCCTCTCCTCTGGGACCTGCGGTAACCCCAGGGACTGCCTAGTAAACACAGGCTCTGTGCTCGCAGAGACCAGAGTACACCACCCTCCACCCGCGAGAGCTGGTGCCAGGGTGGCCCACGCTGGAGGCAGAGGGGAGAGGTGGAGGGCTCTTAAGCCACTCGCCATAGAGTGACTGCTTGCTCCAGGTGCACACATCTGAGCCGCCCAGCCCCCTGCTTCACAAGGGCTAGGGTGATGTGACCTGGAGCCTACCATCCTGCCTCTCCCCTCCCCCACACCCTGCCGTGCACTTACCCAGGGAGAAGATCTCCCAGAGCAGCACCCCAAAGGACCACACGTCACTCTGCGTGGTGTACACTTTGTCAAAGATGCTCTCAGGGGCCATCCACTTCAGAGGCAGCCGGGCCTGGGGGAGGTGGGAGGAAGCTTGTCCCCATGGAGGGAGGGAAGAGAGGAAGAAAGCCAAACACTTGGGCAGCCCCTCTCTCACCCCCAGTCTCCCCAGAATTCTGGAGCCACACCCCAAGGACGGCCTTTGGCCCTTCCCACCCCTTCTGTGTTCAGAAGACTCTCACACCCTATAGGTGCCTAGTGTCTTCCTTGAAGTCTTCTGCCCTGCTGCTGTTCTCCCAGGTCTGTCTGGGCCCCTTCCTGCCCCAGAGCACTCTTAGGGGGGCACTTGGAACTCCTCCTCCTCTGGACCCCAGACCCAGCCTCTAGCGGAACCGGGACCCTGCACCCCCTCACCATCCTCACTTCATCTCCTCATCTGCTCACTGGGTAGCCACTGGATGCCTGGCATCACCCCTGACCACTCCTCTTGTAGCTCCTGATGTGCCTTCCCCATCATCTGTCTCTCTAACCTCTTGTGGCCTCTACCTGGGAGCCCTGAGGGCCACAGCTCCTTCTGACTGACCTCTGCCTTCACCTCAGCACCTCTGCTCCCCTTTCCTCACGGCCTGCAGAGGGGGCTTCTGGAAGGCACACTGGACTCTCCCCTCCAGCCCCCTCTACTCACCCGTGAGCGAGAATGAAGGGCAAAATCTTTCTGCATGGTGGCTATGCTATCAGGGTGGCCCATCACAGCCTAGACCCATCTCGCCCACTGGTCCCTCTCCAAGCATCTTCCTTTCTCCTCCGGGGGACAAACCCCTAAATTAGTGCTTGCCTGGCTGCCTCTGAGTGCCACCAATGAGACACACACTGCACCCAGCACACACAAACTTTTCTGTGACTACCCTCCACCATTCAGGGTCCACCTCTGCAGGGCAAGCATGTGGAGTCAGTCAGTGTCCACCTACTGGACAAGGACATGGGGCCAAACACAAGCTCTAGTTGGAACACCACGGTCCCTGCTCTTCAGCTCCTGTCTCTACTCCCCTGCCTCATGTGCCCTGGTGGGGCCTCTAAGGTCCCTATAGGTTCTCAGGCCTGCCATGTAGATGGCTGTGAGTTCCCCACCTGGCTCCTGGATAGGAGCTCCATGCCCCCATTGGCTGCCCTCCCTCTGTGGCCTGCACTCACGCTGCCCTTGCGCACGTAGTCAGGGTCTTTGTAGATGTCGCGGGCCAGGCCGAAGTCACAGATCTTCACCACATCACTTTCTGACAGCAAGATGTTCCGAGCAGCCAGGTCTCTGTGAATACACTAGGGGCACGAGGAGGTGTGAGGAGGGGTGGTCAGCACAGGTCCCTGGGGCCCACCCATGCCCGAGTCCTGCTCTTTCTTTTTTTTTAATCTTTCAAATTTTATTTATTTATCTTGAGAGAGAGAGAAGGGAGAGAGAGAGAGGGATGGGGCAGAGAGAGAGGAGAGAGCAAGAATCCCAAGCAGCCTCCTTGCCAGTGCAGAGCCTGATGTGGGGCTCGAACCCACAAACCATGAGATCATGACCTGAGCTGAAGTCAGATGTTTAACCAGCTGAACCATTCAGGTACCCCTTGGGGATAGATTTCTTGCTCCCCTGAGACTCTCCAGGGGCTCATGGAACTTTGGGGGCAGCAGAAGAGGCTGTGGAGTGGGACAGATTCCACATCCAGTTCCGCTGCTGATAGCTAGAGATCTTGGGAAATCACTCTCACACTCTGGTGTCAGTTTCCTCCTCTGCAAAGTGGGAGAAACATCCCCTGACCATAGCATCACTGTGGGGTGAGCTAGGACAGTGTGTGTCTTGGTGTGCTGGTAGGTCTGCACCTTTCTCCCTTCTGAGGGGCCTGCTGGGACAGTCACCTTGCGTGAAGCGAGGAACTCCATCCCTCGGGCCACCTGGAAGCTGTAGCAGACAAGGTCTTCCATGGTCAGCGGGCTCAGCCACAGGTCCCGGGCTGCACAATGGAGTGAGGCGGGCTCATGAGGGGCCCCTTCCACAACTCCTATCTTCCACCGCTCCCCAAAGGGAGCATTTGTTCACCAACCCTGGCTGTATCCCTCCTGGCTGGGCCCCTGAAGCCCCTGGCACTAGCTCACTGGTGTGTGGGCCCCTTCTCCTGCCCCTCAGCATCCACTATCTCTGTGGCACCCACTATCTACTCCCAGAGCGGTGAATGTTGTTGCATCACAGGCCTTTGCACCTGCTACTTCTTCCTGTTTGTTCCCACCCTTGTCTGGAAGGCAAATGTCTGTACATTCAATGATGCACGAATCAAATGTCAAGCCTCTGGAAACTGCCCCTGTGGTGTCTTCCCTTCCAAAGGAAAAGCCCATTACACACTCTCCCATGTAAGCCCCTTCAGGAGGGCCCAAGTGAGGCCAGCTTATCTCACAGTCCCCTGATCATGGGTATCATCATGCCAGTCAGACTTCTCTGGGCAAGGGGAAGCCAGGCTCTTACGTTCTTGGACCGGAGGGGCCCGTCCTGCCCCGCCCTTGCCGATCAGGAGCCTGGAGAGGAGGGCCCTGTCGCTGCTTCCTGGCCTCCGGTCAGCCTTGGCGCCTTCCACCATGGCGCGGAAGCGCCTTCGCTGCTCAGGGGACTTCTCCTAGGTATGAACAAAGTGGGTCTCGGGGGGGCGCTCCGCCACCCGCGGCAGTGGCGCTCCCCCACCCTCTAGCCCACCTTGGCATCCTTCGGGTACCCGGCAGAGCTCGGGCCACTGGTAGGGCGCCCACTTACAGCATAGGGGTTGAAGGCCTCCCGCTTGGCACGCAAGAAGTTGGAGAGATTGCCGTACTTGCAGAACTCCACGATAACCATGAGGGGGCCTAGAGCAGGGCGAGAGCGCGGCGCTCGGGGACCGACGGCAAGGTGGAGGGCGGGCACCACAGCAATGCCTCACTCCTCAGTCCTCCTGCCCCGCCCCGGACCGGCCCCGCCCATACCAAGCCCAGCAGGCCCCTCCTCTCAGGGGAAGGGGAGGGGTGGGGCACGAGCTCCTCACCATTTGGCTTGGTGCACGCCCCCAGGAGGTTGACCACGTTGAGGTGGTTGCCAATGTGGATTAGGATCTTGAGCTCCGACATCAAGGCTCGGTGCTCGCTAGCTGTGGCGCCCTCTGGAGGGGATATGGGGGCTTCGTGGGGTGTCCGGCCTGCCGCCTCCCTCCCCGGACCCGGCCCCTAGTCCGTGCGCGTCCCTTTCCCCACCACCGGCTTAGCTAAAGTGCAGCTAGAGCTCTCGCGCGTGAGGGCGTAGAGTCCCCAGCTCGTCCTGCTCGCCTCTTTGAGGCTGGAGTTTCGGGTGGGATTGGGAAGCATGACTCGGATCCAAGCCTCAGGCCTCCATGAAGAACCCTGGGTCAGGCTCTGGCTCTGAACCTCAGTTTCCCCTTCTGCACCACAGCTCTGCCAGCCCACCCAGAACTGCTGCCCCTCACCGTTCCCACCACCTCCTGACCCGCAGACTCCACACCTTTCAGCATTTTCACTGCCACAGTGTCACAGCTGCTGCCCTTGTTGATTCCAAAAGCCGAGGCTTCCACCACCTTCCCGAAGGCCCCATGGCCGAGAACTCTCCCTGTGGGGGCAGGGAGCCGGCTCCAGGTGAGCTGTATGAGGGTGAGGGTGAAGAGGGATGGGCAGCAGGGGCAACCCTTGTGAGGGGCCAGGAAGGAAGGAAGGCCCAGGAGGGGGAGGAGAGGGCGCCTCTCTGCCAAACAGGAAGAGCACTGAGACCAGGAGCGGGAAGAGAGGGAGAGGAGAAGCTGACAGGAAGGCCCTGCATCCTCTCCCAGCAGGTGCGATGGGCCCACCCAGCTCAGAGCTGCAGGAAGTGACCCCGGGGGGCCTGAGAACTGAGAGCCCTGGCCAAAGTTCTTGGGATGCACGCCCAGATGGGCAGGTTGGGCCAGGTGGGGGCCAGGCATGACTTTCTGGCCTGAGAATGGAGGGATTTCAGCACTTCAGAGGCTGAAGCCCATCTGTGCAGGCAGGATAGCGTGGGTGGGGCAGGCTGGGCGATCGCCTCACCGAGGTGCAGCCGCTCCCGGGGGAACTCCCATTGGCTGGCATCATAGGACAGGTATTCACACTGCTCCTCCAGAGGCACCTCCCCAGGGTCCATGATGATGGACAGGTAGCCTGTCTTGATGTCTGCATGGGCTGGCTGGGGTGGGGGTGGGGACGACTCACTGATTTGGCCACACCACGGTCTTGGGTAAAACTTTCCCCAGGACAGATGGGATCTCCTTTGGGACTCTCAGGCAAGGAGGGGACAGACTGACAGCCTCTGGTGGTGTAAGAGCCCAGCATGGAGGGGTCTGAGAGGCTTCCTAGGAGGTGAGGCTTCCAGGTGAGCCAGGACGGATGAGGATTTTATTTCTTATCTTACACGCGGTGCATGGTGTAGAGAGACCCCACAAGGAGCGGTGGAGAGGCTCAGTTGGGGGAGAAACGCTCACCCTCCTCATGTTACAGAAGATGAGGAGGAGGAGGACCCAGAAGAAGACAGCGATGACCCCGGTGCCGACAAGGATCACGATCTCCATGCTGCCTTTATCTTCGGAGCCTGAGTGGGCAGAAAGGGGCTACTCTGTGTGTGTGTTTTGGGAGGGGGATGCACCCTGCGAGAAGCGCCCTGACTGGCGGGCACAACTTGAGGGAGGTGACTATGAGAAGGCGTCAAGTGCGGGTGGCAGGTGGGCGGGAGGGTGCAATGGGGAGGTTGGACCTTCCACGGCCACGCTGGCGGAGGAATTGACGCAGCCCTTGGCGTTGCACACGCTGCACAGATAGCGTCCCGCGTCTTCCTCACGCACGCGCTGTATGCTCAGTTTCTGGTTGGAGTCTGCCAGGTAGATTCCTGTATGGGGTGGGGTGGAGGTTCGAGTTCATTTTGGGTCTGGGCCCTTGACCTGGATAGCCTCTCTCTGCACCCTGCCCTTCGCCTGGATCCACCGCTTACCGGACTCTTCCTCCAGTAGCCTCTCGTCTTTGTACCACAAGATGCTGGGCACGTGCGCCCCTGCCACGGGGCACCGCATCTCCAGAGAGTCGCTCACATTCACCAGGAGATCGGTCAAGTTCTGTGTGAGCCGCGGGGCTTCCAGGGCTGAGGGTGGGGGTCGAGAGCGAGCTAAGTGGCGCTGCAGAAAGCCTCAGGGCATTCCGGGAAAGGGTCTCGCAGGGCTGGGAGCAGAGAGTGGGGACGGATTGTGCGAAGCTCAAGGAAGGATCGGGTTTGAGCGCAGAGTGGGAGGGCTGTGGACCTCCACAGCAGGGGCGGGGGTGGGGAGGAGGAACCTCAGTGGCGGCTCAGGCGCGTTCTGGGAGGGGAGAAAGGCTCTTGGGGAAACACCGCCAGCCCTCTCCTGCAGCCCTGCCCGCCTCACCCTGCACTGACAGGTACTTCTTGTGGCAGTGCTTGTCGTGGCTGCGACGGTCCTGCACCTCGCATACGTAATCGCCTTCGTGCTCTGGAGCCACGCGGGGGATGGTCAGGCTGAGTGTGGCGTGGCGCGCCCCTGGCTCCGCCTCCTCCAGGCTGGCTGCCAGCGGCGTAGCGAAGAGGTGCACGTTCTTGCAGTCGAGCAGCAGTGGGTTCCCGTGCGCATCGTGCAGCGTGGACAGGTTGAGGCGGTACCAACGCAGATTCTCGTAGGTGTAGTTGTCCGCCCGGCAGCTCAGGCGCACGTCTTGGCCCTCTAGGGGTTCTTCGGATGGCTCGGATACTATGCTGAAGCCGTCAGGGATGTCTGGGGAGGGAGGAGGAACCTCTGTGACACTGCACCCAGAGTTGGCGCACCTACCTGCCTGTCCCGGTGCTCGCTCTCCCTTTCCCAGCTCTCTTTGGACTCAGCTCTCGACAAAGAGGGTGCATCACGTGTATTTGGGCCGGGTGCACCACCAGGGAGAGCCCCCTTCATGCCCCTTCTCCCTAACACTGACCAGTGGGACTGGCTCCCTGAAGTCAGCCCCACCATTTCCTGCCTGTCATCCTTCTAGCTCTCTATTGGATAAACCCCAGCCCCACTGCTGTCCCTACTGCTCCTGGGAGCCCGGACCATCAGTGGGGTCCTTGTCTGCACACTTGGTGCCGTCCTGTCCCATCCTCCCTCGCTGCTGATCACACTCCACCACTATCCCCTCCTTGAAACAATCTCATTGTTTCATTAGCTTGTGGCGATGCCTCGCTCCTGATTTCCTTTTGTCCCTTGGTCACACTCCTTGTCAGGCTCCTGTGGGCTCCTCTCCCCCCTCCCTCCCGCAGGGTGTCCTCTCTGGCCCCATCTCTCTTCGAGGTGCCCTTATCTACATGCCTGGGCACAGTGACTGTCCTTTAATAGGCTTCTGAGCATAACTGGGGCACTAAAACATCTGAAAATCTGAGGAAACTACAGACCTTTTTCCCCCAGGAAACATGTACATGTGAGCCAGCTGCGGTGTGGGAAGGGGGTGGGAGGAGCACCAGTGGGGAGGTGCCTCCAGGGTTGGGGGCAAAGGGTGCCACTCCATCCCAGTGGACCGGCACCCCAGTTCATATGCTGATGACCTCCAAATCTATCCCTCCCACCCAGACCCAGGGGCCCACTGGGCCCCTGATGTCTCTCCCGGGTGCCTGACATCATCAGAAACTCAGTGGGCCCAACTTGGGCTCCTTATCCTCTTCCAGGCCTTCTCTCCTTCCTCCTGTGCCCGCTGGTTCCTGACTCCACCCAGGCCTGTGCAAGTCACTCACTGGTCACGTAGAAGTAGATGAGCCGCTCGTCCTGGCCCACTTTGTTGAAGACCATGCACTTGTACATGGCAGACACGTTGGCATCCTGGATCACCAGCTTGCTCACCGTCTAAGCAGAACACAAGCATTTCCTGCCCAAGTTCATCCCACCCTGACCTTCCTCCCTTTCTGCAAGGAGGCAGCTGTGCCCAGCAGAGTAGTGGGGATCACTGAGGCCTGGAGCTGGAGGGGACCAAGCTCAGAGACAGGACCAGGTGGGGAGCAGAAGGTGAAGCCTTTGCACAGCAGAAGTGGCTCTCTGGAAAAGTCAAGGACGAAGCTATGAACAGCATCAGCTGTGGCTGAGGTCAGAGGGCAGCATTAGGCAGGGCTACAGAGACCTCTGGGTGTAGATAGGCTGAGGCTGTGGCCATGTTGAGGAGGAGGGGACAGACCCAGTCTAGCACTGGGGCGGTCCAAGCCAGGGCTAGGATTCATGGTGTGGAGCAAGGCCAGCAGCTGGTCACTGTGTGGGACCCTTGCGATGTGTCACATTCACCCCAGGGCTGCTCACAGCACCTCTCTCTGGGCCCTGGATGGTGGCAAGGGGAGGGAATGGGTCCCAGGTCTGGAATAGGACTGGCCTGAAGGACTCTGGCCTGGGGAATAGGAAGCTTGGAGGCTGGGGGAGGAGAGGGCCATAGGCCCTGCCTACCATCCAAACACCACCACCCCCCATTCCAAGCTGGGCACTTCCTGGCCAGGCCTGGAACAGGAAGAGGCTCTGGAGGTGTGTAGGAAAACAGGAAGTGACCGTAGGAAGTGGGTGCCTTTGTTCAGTCCCTTCCCCCGCCTGGCCTCTTCTAGGCATTGCCCCCAGGCTGGGCCAGAGGCTCAGTTGCCTTCGGTGGAGACCTAGCTGACTCCAGGCCTAACCCTCCTAGCCCTGGAGCCTGTGGGTGGCTGGGGCCCAGGGCCTGGAAGGGCTGCCTTGAATCTAAGCTTCTCTGTCTAGGAAGAAGCTGGAGGTCCCCCCCC